GGGAGGGGAAGGGAAAGGAGATTGTGAGCCACTCTGAGACTCCTTTGGGCAGTGAAGGGCGGGGTATAAATCCAATCTCCTCTTCTTCTTCTTTTACCTCACAGGGTGTCTGTTGTGGGGAGGGGAAGGGAAAGGAGATTGTGAGCCACTCTGAGACTCCTTTGGGCAGTGAAGGGCGGGGTATAAATCCAATCTCCTCTTCTTCTTTTACCTCACAGGGTGTCTGTTGTGGGGAGGGGAAGGGAAAGGAGATTGTAAGCCACTCTGAGACTCCTTTGGGCAGTGAAGGGCGGGGTATAAATCCAATCTCCTCTTCTTCTTCTTTTACCTCACAGGGTGTCTGTTGTGGGGAGGGGAAGGGAAAGGAGATTGTAAGCCGCTCTGAGACTCCTTTGGGCAGTTAAGGGCGGGGTATAAATCCAATCTCCTCTTCTTCTTCTTTTACCTCACAGGGTGTCTGTTGTGGGGAGGGGAAGGGAAAAGAGTTTGTAAGCCGCTCTGAGACTCCTTTGGGCAGTGAAGGGTGGGGTATAAATCCAATCTCCTCTTCCTCCTCCTCCTCCTCTTCTGGATGGGCCATTGGCCTGATCCAACATCAGCTTTTCTTATCTTCTCCTCCTCCACCACCACCACCTCCTCTTCTTCTTTTTCTTCCTCCTCCTCCTCCCCCCTCCTTCTCTTCTTCTTCTCCCTGCCAATGCAACCTTCTGACCATTTCATTACAGTCCAGTTCTAGTTACCTCGGCCAAAAGCCCTCTCGAACAATTCCGTTTTGCAGCGTTCCCAGAAAGCCGAGAGGGTGGGACCCTTCCTGACTTTGTCAGGGAGACCATTTGATAAGATAGGGGCCACCACAGAGAATGACTGAATGAACATGAGTAATTCCCTAGAGGCCTCCCTGCACAGTAGCCGCTTTTTCCAGGGGACCTGATCCTCTGTCCTTGTGTTTCCAAGAGATCTCCGAGTCCCACCTGGAGGCCATCAGCCCTAGGCTACGCAGAGGCAGGCAATGGCAAGACCACCCCTGAACGTCTGTTGCCTTGAAACCCAACGGGGTTGCTATAAATTAGCTGTGTCACACAGACACACAAACAAAGGGAGGGCGATCTTCTTATCTCTAATCAGCGCAGATGTCGCAAGGCTTTCTGCTTATCTGGTATGTGCTTGGCCTTTTGTATGAAAATGTCACAGACTGGCTGGCTCACATCTCGGGGTGGAATGAATGAAAGAGCCACGGCTGCCCACTAGAAGAGCAGAAAGGAAACAAGGCTGTTTGGGACGCTATAATAATGCAGTATTTACACAACCATATCTGTCAATACTTTTTTTTAAAAAAAACCTATTTATTAGAAGGATATAACAACTTTAACAAAAAATTACACAATTCAAATATATCAAATATATCCATTTTCTAATTTTTCTCCTCCCCTCCCCCTCTGCTTGGCTTCCCACAGTGCGAGTCCCCTTCCTCTCCTTTTCTTTCCCCCCTCTCTAATTGCCCTTTTTCATTTCCTCTCTTTAGGTAACATGTTATCATAATATCTGTCAATACTTTAACAACATACAAAATTTAATAAAGTCATCTAAGTCCAAAATACAAGGATTGCAGAAGGTCCAAAAATAATCGTATTCTAACGAAGTTTCCGGATAATGCTTTCGTTTCCCAGGTCTTCATCAAAGAAGGACCAGATCTAACTGCACATTTGGTTTCTTTCTTAACGTCTATCAAGACTAGTCGAGTAAGGTTGGAAAATCAATACTCCACATTCTTCATAAATCAATAGATGTATAAGGCATATAAGGCATATCTCAGAGTGAGTGTCAGGTAAGCATTCATAACTTCCGGAAACTTTGTTAGAATCAGAATAAGATTATTTTTGGACCTTCTTCAATTCTTGTATTTTGGACTTAGATAACTTTATTAAATTTTGTATGTTGTTAAAGTATTGACAGATATGGTTGTGTAAATGCTGTGAGTCTTTGTTTCCTTTTGGCTCATATGTCATGGCCAGTGTTCCCTCTAAGCTGAGTTAGTGTGAGCTAGCTCACAGTTTCTTAGCCTCCGGCTCACACATTTTTGTCTTAGTTCAGGAAGGAGGGCTCCAGAGCAAACTAATGTATGCAGTAGCCAAATGGCTTGCTCACAACTTTAATGCCAGCAGCTCACCAAGTAGAATTTTTGTTCACAGGACTCCACAGCTTAGAGGGAACATTGGTCATGGCATGTGGTCACACTCTCTGTTATTCTCAGGGGTCATTTCCTGCAGGAGCGCACAGGAGCTCCAGCAGTAAGGAGCCCAGTGGGTGGGCACATGCCCCGCCCCCCTGCTCCCAGCAGCCCTCAGTCGGGCCACAAGGAGCAAGAAGCAGCCAGGTAAGTTGTAGAGCCCCCCCCGGCCCACCTTCAGGTACAAGCTCTCCCTCTTCTGTGAGGGCAGATCTGCGTGTGTGTCCCCCCCCCATAGCTAGCAATCCAAAACAGTCCAGTGGCACCTTTAAGACCATGTTTTATTCAGGTACAAGCTCTCCCTCCTCTGCGAGGACAGATCTGCAAGTCCCCCCCCCAATAGCTAGCAATCCAAAACAGTCCAGTGGAGCCTGAGCGGTGGGTGTTGCCTTCTGACACACTTCCGGTGATGTCAGGGGGGGTGGCGTATGCAAATAAGTTATACTAATAAGTTATGCTAATGAGCTCCTGCACCTCTTTTTCTACGAAATGACCCCTGGTTATTCCCCACATATATACCTAAACAGATAGACACTCAGGGGTCATTTTGTAGAAAAAGACGTGCAGGAGCTCATTAGCATAACTGATTAGCATAACTTATTTGCATATACCACACCCCCTGGCATCACCAGAAGTGTGTCAGAAGGCAACACCCACCGCTTAGGTTCCACTGGACTGTTTTGTATGGCTAGCTATTGGGGGGATGTACAGATCTGTACTTGCAGAGGAGGGAGAGCTTGTACCTGAATAAAACTTGGTCTTAAAGGTGCCACTGAACTGTTTTGGACCGGGGGTGGGGTAGGGGAGCTCTGCAACTTACCTGGCTGTTTCTTGCTCCTCGTGGCCTGACTGAGGGTTGCTGGGAGCAGGGGGTGGGGTTTGTTGCATGTGCCCGCCTCCTGGGCTCTTTACTGCCAAAGCTCCGCTCTTGTGCGCTCCTGCAGGAAATGACCCCTGGGCACACTATCTGCCCGCCCATGCTAGCGCTTCTTTCCTCCGCCGAAATCTGTGGATTATGCCACACTCAGTCTGTTAGCTTCTCAGGTGCCACAAAACTCCATTCAAAACTCTGTCCTATAGCCTTATTAAAATGTGGAATTGGCTGCCAGAGAACATTGTTAGATCAAGATGGGTAGCCGTGTTAGTCTCTCTGTAGCCGTAGAAAAGAGCAAGAGTCCAGTAGCACCTTAAAGACTTGACAAAATTTGTGGCAGGGGAGGAGCTTTCCCGTGTCACCGGTATCCGAAGAAGTGAGCAGTGACTCAGGAGAGCTCATCGCCTGCCACAAATGTTGTTAGTCTTGAAGGTGCTACTTTGCTCTTCCCTAGATTATGTAGTGATGGCCACAGTTTTAAAAGGGGAATAGATATGATTAGGAGCTGCGGTGGCTCAAGTGGTTAAGATGCTGAACTGCAGGCTGTGGAAGGTCAGTAGTTCAGCAGTTCAAGACCTGAGTTGCTGCATGACGGAGTGAGCTCCCGTCTCTAGTTCCAGCTCCTGCCAACCTAGCAGTTCGAAAGCAAGAAATTGCAAGTAGATCAATAGGTACCACTCCGGTGGGAAGGTAACAGCGTGTGCGCCTTGGTGTTTAGTCATGCCGGCCACATGACCACGGAAATGTCTTCGGACAGCACTGGCTCTTCGGCTTGGAAATGGAGATGAGCACCGCAACCCTAGAGTCGGATTCGAGCAAGGGAACCTTTACCTTTACTTTAGATATGATTTACGGAGGAGAAGCCTATCACTGGTTACCGTGAATAAACCTTTGTTGGTCTTAAAGGTGCCACTGGACTCTCAATTTGTTCTACGGCTTCAGACCAACATCTGGATCTGCCACAGATTTGCTTAGTCTTGAAGGTGCCGCTGGACTGTTGCCCTTTTCTGCTGCTACGGACAGACTCACAAGGCTACTAACCATCTGGCGCTTCCAAGGCAAATGGGGTTTAGGGTTGTTGTTGTTCAGTCGCACAGTCGAGTCCGACTCTTTGCGACCCCATGGACAAGATCCCGCCAGGCCCTCCTGTCTTCTGCCGTCCTCCGAAGTTTGCTCAGTTTCATGTTCGTTGCATCTTTGACACTGTCTAACCATCTCATCCTTTGCCGTCCCCGTCTTCTTTGACCTTCAATCTTTCCCAGCATCAGGGTCTTCTTCTCCAGTGAGGGCTCCCTTCTCATTGGGTGGCCAAAGTAGTTGAGCTTCAGTTTCATGATCTGGCCTTCCAGGGAACAGTCAGGGCTGATTTCTTTTAGGATTGACTGAGTTGATCTTCTTGCAGTCCAAGCAGGGCCGGATTTAGACTTGCTGAGGCCCTAAGCTATACAAAACCCAGAGGCCCCCTACTGTTTTAAATTACATCAGCTGGTCTCAGAAAAATTTAAAATATGTACGCCTTTTTAGTATTTGAAATCATTTTTTATATAGTGTTTTTATTTGAGGCCCCAGCAGATTGCGAGGCCCTAAGCTGTAGCTTATTTCGCTTATGCGTAAATCCGGCACTGAGAAGGGTTTGGATAACATTGTACCCAGCCAGGGCCTTGGTTCCCTTGGCAGCGCCAGGCGCCTCTCCAGCCGCCGCGGGCGCACGAAACGTGCGGGCCCGGGACAGCCCCCTCCCCTTTCTCTCCCCTCCCCTCCTCCTCCTTCTCCTCCTCCTCCTCCTCCGGCGGGCAGAGGCGGCGCCTTCCCGCCGGGCCCGCCCTCGCCCAGCTCCGGCAGGCGCCGCCAGCGCCGTCTTTCCTGCTGCGCGCAGAGCGAGGAGCGAGCGAGGCGGCGATGTCGGCCGGCGGGGGGCTGCTGGCGCTGGCGCTGAGCGCGGCCGCCGTGGGGCTGCTGCTGCTGCACCGCCGGCTGTGGCCGCACGTGTGGGCCGAGCTGGCCTTCCTGCTCCGCTCCTGGCGGGGCCGGCGGG